GTGATGTCCCTAGGAAAGGAAAGGGCAGCAAGGTAGGACCAGGAAAATGGATGAGAAGGTATTTGTTTATCATATAGATCATTAGGCTAAGGAGGAGTAAAGCGGGTTCCTTGGAGTTTGCCAGCAATACCAGTGAGGCAGTCTGGGGACTGGGCTAAACTGGAAGGGAGAGTCATTGGAAAAAGTCACTTTGTCCATAAGGGATGTAATGCTGGCCCCTGTCATGTCCAGAGTCACCTGAGGCTCATCCATAGAAATGGAGAACAGGGGAGCCTATAGCCTCAAGGCCCTGTCAGTCTTCAGACCAGGCAGACCTTTCCTCACCCAGCTCCTACAGAGAGGAACGAAGGCGGGCCACGTGGGCAGCTGTGTGACTTGAGTGTGACACCCTTGAATGGAGCTGGTCTGCTCTCAGAGTGAGAGGGAGTCTTGCTTCTTTCTGCACCTCTGCTTTGTAGACTGGACATGGCCCCAGGAGAGGCTTGTAGCCCAGAGGCTTTGGGTACTCCCAGCTGAGAAGGAAGAGCGAGAAGATCCTCAGACCCCAGGCTGGCTTCATCCAGACTAGGATTTCCTGGGATGGGCGGGGCACAGGAAATAGCTGCAGCCATGTTCAGATTGTCAGTTATCTCTTTCCTCTTGCAGTTGGACCCTTTCTTGGTTCTCTTGGATATTAAAGACCATGAAAACTGAGTCTAGAAAGTGAGGAGAGCCTTGGTCCTGAGCCTAGTGTAGGATGCTTTTGTTTACTGTTTGGAGAAGGAGATTGCTTGGTTTATGATCATATGGCTGGGACAGCTTCTTGACACTCAAAATGCAGAGTCACACACTTGTGCATGTCAGTAACTAGACTAGTTTTAAGGAGTGGAAGCTTCTTGGAAATGCTCTATGGTTCATAGTTATCCCATGTACTAAACAGGTTTTCATATGGTCTGAACAGGTCCTTTCCCTGTTGTTTCCTATGCTAGTGGCCTGACAGGACCAGTGGGGCTCTATACTAGACACAGTAATGGGGACTGGCCTGTCCATAACTGGGTTATAAACATGAACTTCCTCAGCCCAGAACTGAAGACTTTTCCGTGTGTGCAGCAAGTGGTTACAAAGACGTGTGTTTTGTCAGGTCAGGTCAAAAGCCACAGTGAAGCTGAGGGATTCTGGATAGACGGTGGAGTTTAGACTGTATATTTGGGACAGGCCAGATTAGGGGAGAGGATGTGAACCCAGATGGTGTCAAAGCCCTCATTAGCCACTTAAAGGGGATGGAGTTTTCTGAGGGAGAAGGGATGGCTTTTAATATTCTCTAGATAGAGTTCTGGATGGAGTGTGTGAAGGAGAATGCATATCAAGATGTTATTTTTTTCTATTGTTGTAATAAACATAACTAAAAGCAACTTGAGGAGGAAATGGCTTATTTGGCTTATACTGCCAGCTCACAGCCCACCATTGAGGGACGTCCTACAGGAGCTCAAGCAGGAACCTGGAGGTAGGAACAGAAGCAGAAACTACAGAAGAATACAGCCCAGTGACTTGTTCTCCCTCTGGCTTGTTACCTTTTCTTTCTATGGCTCAGCCTCACAGTATAGGGATGGCACCACCCACAGTGGACTGAACCTCCTACACAGATTAGCAATTAAGAAAATGCCTCACAGACATGGCCACAGGCCAATCTGACCTTCAGCTGAGGTTCCCACTGCCTGGGTGACTCTAGGTTTGTGTCAAGTTGGCAGTTGAACTATGACACGGTGATAATGGGTAAGGAGGCGCAGTTTGAGAGACTTCTACACATGGAAAGAAAATCACCAAAGAAAGTGAGAGAGCAGGACTGTTAGATGGAGGTGGAGGCTGGTATCAGGGAGACCAGATCTAGCAGGGGCTAGCGTATTCATGAAGAGTCACCAAGCATGTCACTGGGCCTGAGTTCAGGGGAGATGGGCTAATGTGAGAGAATCCAGTCAGTCAGGCACATGACATCCTTCCCACAGCTGACAGTCCTGTCAACAAGGTCATAAAGGCTTGGATTAGGAGGTCTGAGTCCTTTCCTAAATTATGACAAAAGGTTTCTAGTCATAGGATGCAGCTATATAGCAGTATGCCACGAGGTAGCCAGCTTTCTTGATCTGGGAGTAGACATGAACCTAACTTTGTTATAAGAAAAAATAAGTCCATTCACCCCACCACACACACCTGTTCAGGACCCAGGACCTGGGGGTCAATCTGCGGCCAGTTCTTGAGAACACATCCCAGGAGTGAGTCAGACTGCAACAGGTGGGCCCTACCTGAGTGCAGCCTTCTCCCTGCAGGCATCACGGGAGGATAGTGAACCTCCATGTTGTCTCATGACAGGAACTTGTCGGAGGCATGCTCTAAGCAGTGTTCTGGAAAACACAACCTCTCTTCTTGTGGAGACAAAACGTCACCTAGTTTAGTCATGGCAGCTTAAACTCAAGGCATCGCTCACACAAGGAAACTGGTTTTGAACTGGCCTGAGAGAGGATGTGTCTGGACGTCATGGAAAAGTGAAGGCCTTTTTCTTTTTTGGTTTTTTTTTGAAGCAGGGTTTCTCTGAGCTTTAGAGCCTGTTCTGGCACTGGAGTTCTGTAGACCAGGATGGCCTCAAACACACAGAGATCAGTTTATCTCTGCCTCCTGAGTGCTGGGATTAAAGGCGTGCGCCACCACCGCCCATCACAAGCATTTTTCTGTAGGTCCCTTAGACCAGGAAGTCTGGCACTGCAACCTGCACCCTGAAGGACAGGAGGAAAGGCTGTGATGGGGAGAGAGGGAGGAGGAAGAGAATCCTTACTACAAATGCAGAGCTCCTCAGGAATCTGTGGTCAGCCACACTCCCAGAGAGTGTGGGGCTTCCACAAGACAATTAGAGAATACAGGTGTATTATAGGATACAGCAGGCCATTCTCTTCTTGTCTTTATGTGTCACCAACATGTACACAGGAAGTAAAGCTTTCTACAGAGGAACCCTCAGCTGTACCCTGGTGGACAATGATCTAGACTCACAGCCAGCCTTAAAGGACTTCTAGTTGTGTGGCAATGGACTAGGATACAGTTATCTCTTTAATAGGATAGAGATATCTCTTTAAGAGACAAGAACTTCTGCTGGGCCTTGAGTTAATAATACACCTTAAGCCAGGCGATGGTAGAGCAGGACTTTAACACGGCACTCAGAAGGCAGAAACAGGCCGATCTCTGAGTTTGAGGCCAGCCTGGTCTACAGAGCGAGTTTCAGGACAGCCAGGACTATGCAAAGAAACCCTGTCTCAAAAAAAAAAAAAAAAAAAAGGAATTAACAATGTTATCCTGTTGTGCACTCAGCCTATTTAATCTGCTTTTGAGAGGACAATATAACAGCCAATTTTACTTGTTTTGGATCTTCCATTTACATTCCCTTTAACAACCTAAACTAATGCACAACTGTAACCTTAAATTTATGTACTCCACGCCCCTGACCCAAGTAACGCATGTGTTCTAAAAGCCATTTGCCAAAAGCTTCAAAACAGTTGAATGCAATGCTATATAATGGACATCCACCATAAACGTTACACACAGCATTCAGCTATTGCTCTATAAACAATGATGTCTATTGTTTGGGTTAGCTGGAGTGACTTAATCCCTTGTAAAATTGCTAGTTTCTGTAAAGTATCCCTCATTTGTTCCCCATGTGATGCTTTCTGTGATGTTGGTAATAGATAAAAGTGCAAGGGACATGCACACATGGACACAGACACAGCTATAGGGACTCATTCACAAGTCAGCCACATGGCAGGCACAGACTGAGACCACAGCGAGGATGGAGGGCACAGGGTGACATAGAGAATGCAAACCTGGACTTGCTCTCGGTTATCTGACGCCAAGAAGTGATTAGATTTTCTTTCTTTCTCCCCTGCCCCTTAATGGGACATCCACATCATTAGGCTGGCCTCGAACTCACAGAGATCCACCTGCCTCCTGAGTTTGGGGATTAAAGGAGTGCACCACCATGCCTGGCTTATTCACTCATTTTTAAATGATTAAAAAAAAAAAATCTTGGTCAACATAAAATCTTAAATACTGGCTCTCTCTCTCTTAAATCTTCAGATTGCCAGGAATTATTTCCTGGTATGAAAAAAGATTGTATTTCTTTTTTTTTTTTTTGTTTTCAGAAAATGAATTAGTTTTAAGATATTCAAATGATGCAACTGAGAAAAAGAAAAGACATTCCCTTTAAATTCAGATGGACAATTAAGAATCCTTCCAATTCCATGTATACATGAAATCCAGATCTGACATGTCACAGGCTCATTTTTTTTTAATGATTTCAGTGGCTGATGAAGATGCACACCCCTGGAAGCAAGCCACAAGACAGCTGTCCTATGTAGAGCTTGTTAACCCAGCACTTGTTCCATCAACCTGGGCTCATTCCCTAATACTTAGGATTTGGGCTCCTCAGGGCTCCTTCAGCATTTAACTAACTCTTTGTTGGTTGAAGGTGCTGGGACTGTTTCTCCACACATAAACTGATCTTTGTCATAAATCACTTTTATAATGAGAGAGCAGCTAGGACACGTTGCCACATCTTCTCCATTCTCCAAATCTTCCTTGGTGATGGAGAAGTTATCCCCACAGGGGCAGGGGTAGAAATATGTCTCCGAGTCCTCGTCATATTGAAAGTCCTCGATCTCCACCTCGTCGTGAAACACCGCCATGGTCACCGGGTCGACACTGCATCAGTTTGCCTAACCGTGTCAGAGCCAAGATTGTATTTCTTAATGTTAAAAGACAGAATCACGATCTTCAAAAATAAAAATCCAAGGGGCTGGAGAGATGGCTCTGGTTAAAAGCACTGGCTACTCTTCTGGAGGACCTGGGTTCAATTCTCAGTACCCGTTGGGTGGCTCACAACTATCTGCAACTCTAGTTCCAGGGGATCCAATGCCCTCTTCAGGCCTCCATAGACACTGCATGCACACGGTGCACAGACAATACAAACACCCATACACACAAAATAAATTCCAGTTGTGGTTTCCATGTTTAATTTTAATGCATAATGAAAAAGCTGAACTTGTGATTTGGAACCAAGCTTCAAATGATCATCTTTCAGTTATATAAAGTTTGTTTTCAAACAGGGTCTCACTGTGTAGACCAGACTAGCCTCCAACTCAGATCGAACCGCCTCCGGCTCCCAAATTTTGGGATTAAAGGCGCCTAGCACCACACCTGGCAAAAAATCCTAAATTGTGTATGTTAGCCACCAGCATATGGAGAGCACCGAAGTCTAACTTACGTGGTTTGAATGAGAATGGCCCCTATGGATTCACAGGTTTGAATGTTGGTCTCCAGTTGGCACTATTTGGTAAAGATGAAGTGTGTCACTGGAGGTGGGCTTTGAGGTTTCAAAAGCCCATAGTTAGCTTGCTCTTCTGTGCTTGTGTCTCAAGATGTGAGCTCTAAGCTACTGCTCCATGATGGCTACCTGCTGCCATGCCCCCCCCCCCATGAGGGTCATGGGACTCTAACCCTTTGGAACTGTGAGCCTATAAGTCGCCTTGGTCATGGTGTTTGCTCACTGCAATAGAAAAGTAAATATGGTTGATACTCATAAAGTGCTTGTGAACCCCACGAGGCAAGGTGACAGACAAAGCTAAGTCAGCTTCCAAAGGGCAGTGTTACATGGGGGATAAAGCAGAAATACTTCCTTTGAGGGACACAGCAAAAACAATTTCTAAAGTAGATTACACACACAGAAGCTATATAATGAAACATAGATCTTAACAGATCTTTTTTCTTCAAAGTCTCTGAAATGTAACATTTGGGAGCTACACAGGCACCCTACCCATTTTTTTTGGTAGGACAATTCATAAAGCATTAAGAGGAAGACAGAAACATACAAAAATAATTTTCTGGGGTACATGGTATTTTGGAGGACACGAACTTGTATGTAAACGCCTTGGGGAGAAAGAACAAGAGCATGATAGAAGAGGCCATTCCCTGCACAGCAGACCTTTGCATATATATATTGCCTTAGAAAATCTTCAAACCCAGAAGCAGGCTAAAACTCTTTTTCTTTAGTGACCAGGCAGCTCATTAACAATGGCTACACCAATTTGTATGATCTGGCTGTAGAGGAGAGGCTACATGCTACTTCTTTAAGTCCATCACATTTTCCTTTGGATACACACTGCATTGGAAACACAAACGTGATATTGAGTAGGGGAAACCTTGTGTTTGCTGTGATGCAATTTCATAGATGAGAATTTCACATTCCCAGTAGCCATCAAACTTACATAAACAGATTTAAAACAATTTATGTTTCGTGGCATATCCTTAAATACAAATTCCTATTGTATTTTTATATAATCTTTATTTCTCCTCCTAGAATATTCAGTTGATTCAAGATTTTTAAAAGGCCACTGTGGACTGGGGATGTAGATCAGTGGTAAAAAAAATTGCCTAGCACAGGCAACTCCCTAGGTTTGAATCCCAGCAGCACAAAAAGCCATAAAAGCTCATGGAAATAGAGCTGGGTATGTCTATTTACAACTGGATCTGGGGATATGTGTACTGAAATACATACATATGGATACTAACTTTCAGTATAATATTTTTATGACATCCTTTTTTTCTTAAGTTTTTGAATTAGCTTGCATCTCAATGTGATTTCCCAAGTTCCTTCAGCATCTTCATGAAGGTTTCTCTCTCACTGGAAGAATTCTGGTTTGATGGTTTTCCACGGTACAATCTGACTGTAGCCTCAGGACCTATCCTGTGTGAACCCTCTGATGGACACTGAGTCGAGACTTTCTGCTGAAGGCTTTCCCACATTCAGCACACTCGTAGGGTTTTTCTCCTGTATGGATTCTCAGATGTAATCTAAGAGTCGATCTCTGGCTGAAAGTCTTCCCGCATTCAGTACATTCGTAGGGTTTTTCCCCAGTATGAGTTCTCATATGGATGATAAGTTGTGAGTTCTGGATAAACGATTTCCCACATTCACTGCACTCATAGCGTTTTTCCCCTGTGTGAATTTTCTGATGTATAATGAGGTTTGATTTCTTAAAGAAGGTTTTTGCACATTCGTTACACTCATAGGGCCGCTCTCCTGTGTGAATTCTCTGGTGTGTAGTGAGTTCAAAATTGTGAGCAAAGGTCTTTCCACATTCACTGCATTCATACGGCTTCTTCTCCATATGTGCTCTCTGGTGCACAATAAGGTTTGACTGGTGGGTAAATGCTTTTCCACACTCAGGACATTCAAAGGGTTTCTCTCCGGTATGAATTCGCTGATGTTTGATGAGGTTTGCCTTATGGGAGAAGGTTTTCTTACACACATTACATTCATAGGGCTTTTCTCCTGTGTGTATCCTCTTATGGCTAATGAGGAGCGACTTGAAGGAGAAGGCCTTGTCACAGTAATTACAGACAAAAGGCTGAACCAAGTTCTTAATTTTCTGATGTTTAAAGATGACTTCTTTATGGCTGAGAACCTTTCCATTCCTATTATATTCTGAGTATTCTACTCCATCATGGGGCTTCTCTTGCTTCAGATACAGAAGTGGTTTCCCAAATCCATTGCATTCCTCACCCTTCCTTCTTACACAGCTTCTACTACTAAGTAAGTCTGAATTATATTTCAAAGTTTTTTCATATAAATCATATTTATAGGGAACTTGTGTTAAGGAAACAAAATCCGTGTTCAGATTTAATGTCTTTCCAAAAAGACTGCCTCTTTCTTCAATTGGTGGTTGGTTCTTGGGGGTTGTAAGTGGCCTTGCCTGCTCATCTGGGTCTCTGGGATCCTTCTCCACCTGGTCATCGGCCCTCCACACTTCTAAGACAAAACACAGTGAAAGGTACTGTAAGCCTTCTTCGTTAACCCATACATGCTCCCATCCTAGAGCTGACTCTGGTTTCGGCATTTAAAAAACGTCCCAATACAAACATTTTTCATCTCTTAAGCTTTGAGAGGAAAGTAAATATATGTTGGAGGGGTGGTATTTCCTGATGACAAAATGACCTTTAAGTGAGCAGAAAAAAGCCAGGAAGTGGTGTCACCACCTTTGACCCCAGTACTTGGATGGCAGAGGTAGATGGATCTCTGTCAGTTTGAGACCAGCCTGGTCCTCTTTCAGAGGATCTGGGTTCAATTCCCAGCACCCACATGGTGATTTATAACCATCTGTGACTCCAGTCAGGAGATTCCAATGTTCTCTTCTAGCCTCTCATGGGTACCAGCACACATACGGTACACAGACATATGAGCTGGCCAAACACCCGTACATAAAATAATTTTAAAGATTTATTTACTTGTATGGGTGTTTACTTGTATGGGCATTTATTTATTAATGTGTATGGGTGTTTTACCTGCATGCTACATTTGCAGTGCACACAGAGGCCAGTAGAGAGCATCAGATCCTCTGAAACTAGTTACAGAAGGCTGCCAGCCTCCATGTAAATGATAGAAATAAAACATATTCTGTGGAAGAGTGGCCAGCACTCTTAATCCCTGAAGTATCTCTGCAGCCCACCATCACCCCTTTTTTGAAGACAGCATCTTATTATGTAACCTTGGCTAGTCTGAAACTCTCCATATAAACCAGGCTGGCTTTGAACTCACCGAGATCTATCTGCCTCTTCAGTGTTGGGATTAAAAGTGTACAACACTATACCCAACTTTATTCTTATTTTTGTATGATATGTGTGAGTGTACATGCATGCATTACCATAACATGCGATGTGAGTGGAGGTCAGAGAACCTCTGACTGGTTCACTCCCTCCACCAACATGGGCTCTGAGATCAAACTCAGGACATGGAGCTTGGAAACAAGCACCTCTACCCACTGCGCAATCTCACCAGTCCAAAAAGATTTTTTTTAATGTCTGTATGTGAGTCTGTGTACAGGGACAGGTGCCATCAGAGCCAGAGCTTCAGATCCCCTGGTGTTTCAGGTGGCTGTGAGCTGCCCACATGGGTAATTTGAAGGAGTCTTCTGCAAGTGCATACAGTGTACACTGTTGACCACTAAGTCAACTCTCCAGCCCCACAACATAACTCTGCAGTAAGCATTGCTCACAGGCCCAAAAGCCTCTGAAGACACAGGTATAACTGGGTGTGGTGGTGCACACCTTTACTCCCAGCACCCAGGAGGCACAGGCAGGTGGATCTCTGTGAGTTCAAGGCCAGCCTGGTCTACAAACTGAGTTCCAGGACAGTCAGGGATGTTACACAGAGAAACCCTGACTTGAATAACAAAAACACAAAAACAAAAACCTCACAGCACACACCTTTAGCCTAGCACTGGGGTAAAAGGGCTTAGAGAAGGTGATCGGAGTTCAAGACCAGCCAAGGTCACATAAGTGAGACCCTGTCTTAAATAGCTCCCCTAGAGAATTCTGAACTGACCATTCTAACTATAACTCCTGCCACCCCAGGTTAAAGATGCACTTCCCAAGGCTCAAGGCTGTCCTTACCCACTGAAAGTAAGTTGCTGTAGTTCTCCAGCATTACGTCCATGTATAGAATCCTTTGAGAGGGGTCCAGTTGCTCCCACTCTTCCTGGGTGAAGTCCACAGTTACATCAGTAAATGAAACTGAACCCTGAAATGACACATTTTCTAAAGTGATTACCTTTGGAAGGATACATGAAAATTTACTCTTGTCACACTGTAAGCCCTTCACCATGACACCAACGGTGCTACTTGTTCAGTGTTTTGTCACAGCTCTGAACCGTGAAGACCTTTATTTAGGACAGGTGTAGTGGTACATACCTTGAATCCCAGCATCTGGGAAGTAGAGGCAGGCAGATCTTGGTTTGAGGTCAGCCTGGTCTACCTAACAAGTTTCAAGACAAATTCAGTTGATTATCCTGATTCACCAATTGTGAGAGACAACAGCTATGACTCTGTATATAAAACCTTTGACAATTTGTGAAAAAAAATAAAGAAAATGATATTGCTGGTCAGTTGCTCTTAGCCTCTCCAAATAAATTGACAAAGAAAACAATAAGCTCCATGACAACAGCTTCCAGCACCTCAGGATACAATGAAGGACAACAATTAAACCCAGTGGTAAAACTGATTGGCTCCAGATGTCTAAGGGTTCTTTTTGTTTTTTTTCTGTGTAGCTGTCCTGGAACTAGCTCTGGCCTTGGACTCAGAGAACCATCTGCTTCTGCCTCCAGAGTGCTGGGATTAAGGGTGTGCACCACACCCTGCTCAGTCTAAATGTTTCTATGTGTGCCTTGGAAGAGGATCTTCTCTTCAGCAGCCACAGAGCTCAAGTTGTGAGAAAAAAAAAAAAAAAAAAAATCAAACCGGGCTGGAGAGATGGCTCAGAGGGTAAGAGTATTGACTGTTCTTCCAGAGGTCCTGAGTTCAATTCCCAGCAAGCACATGGTGGCTCACAACCATCCATAATGAGATCTGGTGCCCTCTTCCAGTGAACAGGGATATGTGCAGACAGAACACTGTATGCATAATAAATAAATATTTAAAAAAAAATCAAACCAAAGCCTTTAATATAAGGTTGGTTGAATTACAGCAGAAATTCAAGCCTTGGAGTGTTAGTCAGGGCACTAACTGGTAAAGAACAGGACCCTGTGATAGAGATGTGTGGGAGACCCTCAGATTCTCAAGGGTTTCTCACCTAAGGAAGTGGTCGCTAAACCCTCAGAAGAGGTACCCTTACCCTCACCCCCTGAAATACTGCCTTTCTCCACTCTGAGGAAATTGTCTTCATTGTCTGACAAACCAGCAGTGATTTCCCTGAGATGCCAGATGAGACAATCCTGACGACCCTGGGGACCCACCAAGAGCTCTCTCTGGACCCATGAACAGACTCAAGGTAAGCAGGCTTCTGGAGGGAGATTGAGGGAGTTGCTCTATACTGCTAAAGAGCTTAATGAGTTTGCTACTTCATTCAAGCTGAAGTCTGGGGAACCTGTGTAGGGATAGATTTGGAGGCTGTGGGGAAATGGCCGAAGGAACATAAAACTGGGTCAGAGTGAGTTTATTGATATGGGCCCTCTAAGTGGAGATTCTAGGTTTAATGAGGAAACTCAAAGAGTAAAAAAAAAGGTGTCATGAGAGGCAGTGGTGGCACACACCTTTAGTCCCAGCTCTAGGGAGGCAGAGGCAAGTGGGTCTCTGAGTTAAAGGCCAGCCTGGTCTACAGAGTGAGTTCCAGGACATCTAGGGATACACAGAGAAACCCTGTCTCAACAACAACAACAAAAAGGTTTGAATGGCTGGCTGAAACATTCATGAAAAAATGGTCTACTGAGGAGGAGATGGAGATGCCTGAAATCTCTTGGTGCTGATGAAAGGATTCTAAGGTTCGGGGAAATTGCAATGAGAGTGGGTACAATATGTAAAACCTAACCCTCCACAATGGAAGGCCATAAAGATGTGATCTACACCAACCCTATAAGACACAAAATGGTGACAGGGGCACCCCCATATCTGAAGAGCTTTGCTGTTGCCCTTTTCCTTGTGCCAGACCATAGATAGGGTGGGGATGCTACTGCTCAGGTGGATGAATTAAAAGCAATGCATTTAAGCTGGGTGGTGGTGGCGCATGCCTTTAATCCCAGCACTCGGGAGGCAGAGGCAGGAGGATCTCTGTGAGTTCGAGCCCAGCCTGGTCTACAAGAGCTAGTTCCAGGGCAGCCTCCAAAGCCACAGAGAAACCCTGTCTGGAAAAAAAAAAAAAAAAAAAAAAAAAAGAAAAAACAAAACAAACAACAACAACAAAAAAACAAAAGCAATGGGTTTAATCGGCCCCCAAGCAGCAGGGACCAGGTGGCAGCACTGAGTCACCAAAGGAAAGGTACTGTAGTTATTGTAATGGGCAGCATAGACAAAGCAATGTCCTTAATGGCCTGACCTATAATGGTCAGCAAAAGCAGAGTGATTTTTATGGTGGCATGACCTTTGGTACGGGCTAATCAATCATAGTATTTCCAGGCACAAAACAGACAGGCCTACTGCATTTTATCTATTTATTTATTTATTTATTTATTTATTTACTTACTTACTTACATTGTATCATGGCAAAAGGAAATGTGAACTGATTTCCAGACTTGAGCCAGTTTGCAGACCCAGAATGGCTTGAAAGAAGGCATGGCCAGGTTCCCCTAAGGGAAGACTTTGATAACATACTTAAGAGTTTTACTGTTAGTCGTTCCCTAGTCCTGCTCAAAGAGACCTATGGCCTTTTAGAGGGTAACTATACTCTGGGGAGAAAGGAAACAATTAGACTTTCTGGGCTCTGTTGGATATTGGTTCTGAACTGACTATGATTCTGGAAAATCCCAAGAAACAATGTGGCCCTCCAGTTAAAATAGGAGTTTATGGAGGTTAGGTGATTAATGGAGCTTTGGATGAAGTCCAAAGTCCACAGTAGGTCCTCTGGGTCCCCAAACTCATCCTGTGATTATTTCCCCAGTCCCAAAATGTATAATTAGAAGTTTGCAGAATTCTCACATTGGTTCCCTCATCTATGGAGTGAGGGCTATTATGGTTGAAAAGGTTAAATAGAAGACTTACGATTGCCAAGGAATATGGCAAATCAAAAAGTTTTACATCAGCCGGGTATTGGTGGCGCATGCCTTTAATGCCAGCACTTGGGAGGCAGAGTCGGGCGCATCTCCTGTGAACTCAAGGCCAGCCTGGTCTACAGGGTGAGTTCCAAGACAGCCTCCAAAGCAATACAGAAAAACCCTGTTTTGAAAAACCAAACAAACAAACAAAAAGTTTTGCATCTCTGGAGGAATTGCAGAAATGGGTGCCACACTCAAGAACTTGAAAGATACAGGGGTGGTGGGTCCCATACTTCCTTCAACTTTATTTGACCAGTGCAGAAGACAGATGGACAGTGAAAAATGACAGTTGACTACTGAAAACTCAAGTAGTGACTCTGATTGCAGCTGCTGCACCAAACATGGTGTCCTTACTTCAGGAGATTAACACACCTCTGGTCCCAAGCAGGCAGAAACAGGAGGATCTCTGTTGAGTTTGCCTGGACTACATATCCAGCTTCAGGACAGTTTAAAACTCAAGAAAACAAACCTCTTGATTGAAAAGTAAACAATAGGCTGACAGTGGTAGCACACACCTTTGATCCCAGCTCCTGGGAGGCAGAGGCAGGCAGATCTCTGTGAGTTCAAGACCACCCTAGTCTACAAATTGAGTTCCAGGACAACCAGGGCTGTTACACAGAGAAGCCTTGCCTTGAAAAAACCCAAAATAAATAAATAAAAGTAAGTAAATTAATGAATAAGCAAGCAAGCAAACAGACTGACCATGGTACTGTTACATAATTCATTAAAATGATCGATCTAGAATGCTTGCCATGACAAATTCTGTGTGAGGATGTGGAAACTTGTTTTCATTCATTGATGGTGGGAATGTACGTCACTTGGAAGATAGTTTAATAGTTTCTTACAAAATTAGTCATTTTTTACTATATGGTCCAGCAATCCTTAGTATTCACCCAAATGAGCTGAAAACTTATGCTCCCACAAAAACCTGCATATTAATTGTCAAACCTGGAGGCAGTCAAGCTGTCCTTCAAGTACTGACTAATATACTAGACTGAAGATTCATCTTGGTAGATACAATGTTTGCCTAGCATGCACAAAACCTAGGTTCCACCGCAGAAACTGGGCATGGTATCACATGCCTGTCATCTCAGACCTCAGGAAGGAGACATGAAAAACTGAGGGTCAGGCTGGAGAGATGGCTCAGCGGTTAAGAGCACTGACTGTTTTTCCAGAGGTCCTGAGTTCAATTCCCAACAACCACATGGTGGCTCACAACCACCTTGAATGACATCTGGTGTCCTCTGCTGGCATGCAGGTAGAAGACTGTATACATAATAAATAAATAAAATCTTAAAAAAAACAAAAACAAAAAACAAACTCAGGGTCGTCATCTAAACCAGGGGTTCTCAACCTGGGGGGAATCACAACCCCTTTGGGGTCGAATAACCCTCTTAAAGGGATTGCCTAAGACCATCAGAAAACACAGATCTTTATATTATAATTTATAATGGTAGCAAAATTAGTTATGAAGTAGCATCAAAAATAATTTTATGATTGGGGTCACCACAGCATGAGGGAACTGTGTTAAAGGTACAGCATTAGAAGATTGAGAAACCATTGCTCTATGCTATGAGACCTTTCCTGCCACTCCCTCAAAACAGAAGGGAACCCCCAAAATGGCAAGGATGGATGAGGTTGTTTCACTGAATTTGGAGCTTTGCTTTCAGAAAGCTCCAGCAATCCTTTCTCTGCCCCTTATAGCGTTAGAGACACTGGTGTGGGGCAAACCCTGCTAGGATGCAAATTCAGGTCCTCATCACGGAGCCATCACCTTTCTGGCCCAAATCTAACTCATTATATTTTCTACTTTATTTCTCATCAACACTCCAAAACCAAAATGAAAAACCAAAAAAAGAAAACCAAGTGACTCACCTGGGACCTCATCATTTTCTGTGGTTGGGGTAAAGGCACAGCAGCACAAAGGCACTGGAAGAAAAGAAAAGGAAGCTTATTATGGATCTGACCTGCCTGGCACCCAGAGTGTTCTGTTTAGTGGCCCTATACACCCCCAAAAAATACCAACCCCTCTTAAGAAAAAGCATTCTGGCAATATATTTTTTCTAAAGATTTTATTTATTTATTATTTATACAACATTCTGCTTCCATGTATATCTGCACACCAGAAGAGGGCACCAGACCTCATAAGGGATGGTTGTGAGCCACCATGTGGTTGCTGGGAATTGAACTCAGACCTCTGGAATAGCAGCCGGTGTTCTGAGCCATCTCTCCAGCCCCCAATATCTACTTTTTTAAAGGTTTATTTATTATGTCTGCATATATGACTGCACGACAGAAGAGAGCACCAGATCTCATTACAGATGGTTATGAGCCACCATATGGTTGCTGGGAATTGAACTCAGGACCTCTGGAAGAGCAGCCAGTGCTCTTAACCTCTGAGTCATCTCTCCAGCCCCAAAATATCTACTTTCAACCAAACACAATGAGACACATACACCAAAAAGGGCAAGAGACAAAATAGAAGCCCCAACTGTTAGTATTCAGGCCTGTCTGAATTGTTAGTTAGTTAGTTAGTATTGAATTGTCTGTACTGGCCCGCCCTTGGGGTCCTGACAGGAGACAGCCTCAGCTGCAGCCACTGAAAGCACCACCTGTGCACATTCATTACATTCCCTTATAAACTGCCTGTCTCTCTCTCTCCTGGCTGCCACCACCCACTGTCCCCAAAGGACAGTCTTCGTGCCTCCTTTCCCATTCCCTTCCCCCAAAAAAAATCTCCATTCCAGCTCTAATGCATGATGGTGTCTTGGATAAGGAATTTAAAGCAACTGTGATTTTCACACTACAGGCGTTAATGTAAAAGGCAAACATGAATGAACAAACAAGGAAACTTTAGCAAAGATGGGAATTAGTAGAAAAAGAAAAGAGAAAAAAAAATCCAGGTGATATGGCATATGTATTTAATCTGAGCACTCTGGAGGCAGAGGCAGGCAGATCTCTGTGAGTTTGAGGCCAGCCTGGTCTACAGAGTGAGATCAGGACAGCCAGGGCTACACTGAGAAACTGTCTTGAATAACAAAACAAAATAAAAGGAAACTGGTAAGGATTTAGAGTACAGATTAGTGGCTGTTAAGGTTTGGCTATGTGGTGAACCCCAGCTGCCGGGTTCAATCACTGACAAGTGACTGACTCATGAGGGCTTCCTTCATCTATGGATTAACTCTCATGGTGGCATTAGTAGAAAATAGAAGGTGGCTTTAGAAGAAGCAGCTTGTCAGGGCATTCCCCGGGTGATAAACTTTGTCTCCAGCCCCTTCCTGTCTTCCTGGTTGTCAGGAAGTAAGCAGAGGTGAGCAACCTCTGCCATGTGCCCCAATGTCACTTTAGATTTAAAGAGATGGGATGAAGGGACCATATTAAATTTTTCTTTGGAGGCTAGAGATATGGCTTAAGAATGCTAACTGGCCAGGTGTTGGTGATGCACGCCTTTAATCCCAGCACTCGGGAGGCAGAGGCAGGTGGATCTCTGTGAGTTCGAGGCCAGCCTGGTCTCCAGAGCGAGTGCCAGGATAGTCTCCAAAGCTACACACAGAAACCCTGTCTCAAAAAAAAAAAAAAAAAAAAAAAATGCCCACTGTACAAGCATAGGGCCAGCGTTCATTCCCAGCACCCACTTGGCAGATCACATCTGCCTGTAACTCCAATTCAGGAGAGCTGCATACCCTCTTCCAGGTCCCTCAGGCACCAGGCACCTGTGCAGGCAAAACATCATCTCATAAATATTTTAAAAAAAAAGTTAAATGTAAAGAAAAGAAGGGGTGGTATAGTGTCATCTTGTCACTGGCAAGGCAAGATACCACTGCAGGGTGGAGAGACACTCAGTGGTTAAGAGCACTTCCTGTTCTTCCAGAGGACAGGAGTTCAGGGGATCTGATGCCTTCTTCAAGCCCCTGCAGGCACCAGCACACATGGGGCAATCAATACATGAGACAAACTCACACAAAAATAAAAATGATAAAAATTAATATTTGAAAAAAAGTAGGGACTGGAGAGATGACACAGCTGTTAAGAGCACTGGCTGCTTTTTCAAAGGTCCTGAGTTCAATTCCCAGCAACCACATGATGGCTCACAACCATCTGTAATGAGATCTGGTGCCCTCTTCTGGTCTACAGGTGTACATGCAGGCAGAACATTGCATATATAAGAAACAAATAAATAAAAGAGGTGAGCTGCCCAATCACAGGCCATGCCTGCCAAAAGACCAAGGAGGCCACCGCCCATGGACCTCTCCCACTTGGTTCCCTTAGGCACACACCTATCCCTATCCCCTTTTCCTCCCCATGCCATATCCCAGCCCTCAACTCATAGGCACAATTCCTGCTGGATCAGAGACAACATGGGCTTCCAGAACTCCTGCCCCTAACTCAGGCAGAGACCCTCTGGCTCAACAAGTGACCACATTGGCCACCAGCAGTCTAGCTCCCAACTCAGGTGGAAACCCCCTTGTCAACTGCAGGCCACACTGGCCAAGAAGACCAGAGGGGACACAGAAACCACAAAGACAAAGCCAGAAGTGTCACTGAGACCTATAATCAATCACCACCAACCCAGATGCCTAGACGCCGGTGCAAGAACACAACATCAGCAAGGGCAATATGGCACCACCAGAGTCCAGCTATCCTACCACAACCAGTCCTGAATATTCCAACACAGCTGAAGCACAAGAAAAAGAGGTCCTTAAAGAACTGAGTAAATCTCTTAAGGAAATCAAAGAAAAGTCAAGCAAAAATGGGGGAAATGAGTAATCCCTTAAAGAGGAAAAACAAACAGCTGAAGGAAATAGAAGGGTTCAAGATCTGAAAATGGAAATAGAACCAATAAAGAAAACACAAACAGGGAATGCTGGAAATGGAAAATCCGGGTACGTTAACAGGAACTACAGATGCAAGCATCACCAAAAGATTTCAAGAGATAGACTTAACGGATATCTACAGAATATTTCACCCAAACACAAGAGAATATACTTTCTTCTCAGCACCTTACAGAACTTTCTCCAAAACTGGCCACTTACTTGGTTACAAAGCAAGTCTCAACAGATTTAAAAAAAACTGAAGTAGCCACTTGCATCCTAACAGACCACATGGATCCAAGCTGGATTACACCAAGAGAATCAACAGAAAGCCTACAAACTCATGGAAACTGAACTCTCTAATGAATGACTACTGGGTCAGGCCAGAAATAAAGAAATTAAAGTGTAACACGAATACATCAATGGCCCAGAGACTATACTGGGGCTCAAACGTTCCGCACGCTTTATCGTAACACTGACAATCTTCATAACTTCCCACAATGGCCACATTGCTTGGCCTCAGAAACTTGGCATGAGCCTCCATGAACCCCTTATTCTTGCATTTATCATACCTATACCAAGATGCCAAAACCTGCTTCCGGCCCGAGATGTAGCTTGGCCGCCTTGAGCCACATTTGTGTCAACTTCTGTCTGCCTTCCAAGCTTACCTGGAGGAAACACCTCCCCAGGTGGTGGGTTTCCAACAGAGGACTCCTTCACTGGCATTACAGTTTAGGCTCTCTCCTTTGTTCCCAGCTGGAACCTTCACTAGAGGAGGGACTTTGCCCCTAGAGCACTTTTCCTATTATCTCAGTGCAGAGCAGGTCTCCCTTTAATGGTACTTATCTCTTGTTAATGGAAGCTGTTTTCTCAGTATCTGCTTTGTAGCCTGTATCTTTAAACTCCCTCCTTTCCCCAGCAAACCACAGAGTTTTGCTATCTTTCTGCTGTCTCCCACAGTACATTGGGATAAGAGCAGTTTTATATCTTGATATATTCTGAATGTCATCCAGAAGACTGAAAAGTTTCTGCACCTGATAAGCCTCTCCTTTCCGCCTATTCAGCAATCCAAGTCAGACCAAATCAAACCGAATTAGAAAAAGCCCACAGTCTAATGGATACAACGCTCCCGGATGGCCTTCCAGCCCCCTAGAGAGGAGACAGGAAATGGAAAACCAGGAGTCTATTTCCTGGGAGGCAGTTTAAATACCCTGTGGGAGTGGTCTTAAAATCTTTGGGGGAAGGTATCATCATTTGGTGGGCTTTCTGAGATGCTGCAGAGTTTGAAGGGAGATGGGGGAGGGGGGCAAGAATGGGGACAAAGGAGCTTGTCCTGGAACTCACTATAGACCAGGCTGGCCTTGAACCCAAAGAGATTGCCTGCCTCTGCCTCCTGAGTGCTGGGACCAAAGGCGTGCACACCACTGCCCAGCTCATAATGAAATCTTAAATCTTTTCATGTGTGTGTGTGTGTGTGTGTGTATGTTCATGCACACATGTGCTTGTGGATGTCAGATAACAACTTTCAGTTCTCCAGTTCTCTCCTTCTACTATATGGGTTCCAGGGCTCAAACTCAGATTTCCAGCATTGGTGGGAGGTGTCTCACTAACCACACCATAGAATTTTTTCAATCATAAGGAGGAACGAAGTTATGTCATTTGCAGGAAAATGGATGCAACTGGATATAATCATATTAAACAAATTACTCTCAGACAAATAATCATGTTTTCTCTGACTTGTGGTTCCTAGATTTTTATGGAGATGCATAAAGTCATGTATAGAAATGAAACTAGGGGGGAAAAGGGAACAGGAAGGGAGGTTTGAACAAAAGCAATAGGGAGATATGGAGGGGATATGCTCAATATACCGCATATACCTGTGTGAAAACTTTAAAATAAGTAAAAAGCATAACTCTAATCAAGAAAAGAGGTGAAGCTGGGTTTGTACATATCTCTAATTCGAGACCAGCCTGGGAGACACGGCAAGCTCTAGGCTAACCTGAGCTACCCAGAAAAGCCAATCTTAGAAAAAAGAAATTCTGTTCACACCGATGCTCAAACCGGAAGTAACGGGTAGAAGCAATTATTCCGTGACGATATAACTGGAAACACCAGGCATCATGAGGGACTCACGGAGGCTCTTGGAGCCCGCTAAGGGGTAGGGGGCGTGGCCAGCTGAGTGGGACCCGCCCCCACACCCTCGTGGAGGGTCACGAGCGCGCCCGCCCGGCTGCCGGGCTTCCGGACTCGTTCCCGCGCGGCCTCAGCCCCGCGATGCCCGGCAGACGCGCGTCTCCTGACAAAGGAAAGCTGCAGCCCGGCAGCTGCCCGTCCTCCTCCTACCCGCACGCGTGCGCCGGGAGCAGCCCACAGGGACCAACTCAGAAGGGCTCGAGGCCCGAACCCACGCCCGGGGGTCGCCACAACCCGCGAGGCTCCAACCCTGACGCGGACACGACCCTTCTCTCGGGTCCGCGAATCCCAGGTCCCCATACCTGGAGGGGCTTAGCTCCACTCGCGGTTCCGGGTCACGACGCTCGTGGAGAAGGGGGCCCTGTCACCCACTCGCGACTGCAGGTGGGAGAAGGGCGACCGCCGGTGCATTCGCGCAAGCGCGCAGACTGGAGAGCGGGCGGCCCTACCCAGAGTCCTCGGAGCAGTGACGCGGGTCTCAGGACTACAATTCCCATCCCTCTCCGAGCCGCGCTGCTAGGGACTCTGGGAAGTCTGCGCGTTGTGTGTAGGGCGGGGAACGTTTTCCAAATTAAGTAAATATGAACTGTGTTCTCAGAGGCAGTGCCATCTCTTTCTTCCTCCTCCTCCTCCTCTTTTTTCTTTTTTTTGTTTTTCTATACAGGGTTTCTCTGTGGCTTTGGAGGCTGTCCTGGAACTAGCTCTTGTAGACCAGGCTGGTCTTGAACTCACAGAGATCCATCCAGAGTGCTGGGATTAAAGGTGTGCGCCACCAACGCCCAGCTTTTCCTTCTTGTATGCAATTTAAAAACCTGGGTTTTGGAAATTTCACAAGTAATCGATTAAAGCTCTTTCAACTACAAAACACATACATTAAAGCAAATACCGGCCTTAGTCTCAACCTTGTAAAGAACACACATCTTTCTGGGCGCTGCAGTGCAACCTTTAATCCGAATAAATCGCAGGCAGATCCTTGAGAGTTTGAGGACAAGAGAGCTTCAGGCCAGCCGGGGCTACATAGTGAGACCCTGTTTTAGAACAACCAACCCCTGACCACACACACAACCACGATTTTCCTTAACCTCTAGGCTTTATAGTTATGTTTCCATCTTAACGGGATCACAGGTGAAGGATACCATGCCTATCTGACTTTCAGTACTGACCACCTTTATAAACACTGCATTACATGGTGCACTTACATACATATAGGCAAAGCATTCATGTACCTATCATCTTAAAAATTGTGGGATGATGGTGGCACACTCCCAGCACTTGGGAGGCAGAAGCTGGTCTACAGAGAGTTCCAGAACAGGGAAACTCTGTCTCAAAAAAACTAAAACAAAACAAAGAAACCCTAAGAATTTGTAAATGATGATAAATTCAACTCTGTGTAAAGTGCACACAAAACATGGGGTGGAGGAGGAGAAAAGGCACAGAAGTAATCCCAGTGCTCAGAAGTAGAGCTGGAGTTATTAGTTCAGGGCCAATCAGGACATGTAAGACTGTCTCAAAAAGGAAAGGAATGCTTCCAGTTCGATAACCCTGTAATCTCAGCACTTGGGGGACTGAGACAAGGTCATAGCTGTGAGTGTGACTCCAATCTGGGCTGCTACACTGAGTTCCGGGTTAGCCTAGGATACAGAGTGACAACCAATCTCAAAAACAGGGCTGGAGCTGGCTTTGATAGACAGTGTTCATCTTTAATCCCTGCACTGGGACAGGGGTGGGGTGGGGGCACAGATAGTTAAATCTCTGAGTTTGAGGCCAGCCTAGATTATATAGTTGAGTTCCAGGACATCCAGGGCTGGAACTCAGAGGTTAAGAGCACTGGCTTCTCTTCCAAAGGTCCTGAGTTCAATTCCCAGCAACCACATGGTGGCTCACAACCATTTGTAATGAGATCTGGTGCTCTCTTCTGGCATACATGCATATATACATAATAAACAAACAAACAAACAAATAAATAAATCTTTGCCAGGAAGTGGTGTCACACACCTTTAATCCCAGCGCTTGGGAGGCAGAGTTAGGCAGATCTCTGTGAGTTTGAGACCAGCCTTGTCTACAAAGTGAGTTCTAGGGCAGGCTCCAAAGCCACACAGAGAAACCCTGTCTCAAAAAGTCAAAAATAACAAACAACCAACACCAAAAAACAAACCAACGACAAAAACAGGGCTGGTGAAAGGGCTTAGAGGGCAAAGGTGTTTGCCACTAAGCCTGATGACCTGAGCTACATCCCTGGTCCCAGCCATCTCCCACAAGTTGTCTTCTGACCTCCACATGCACAATGTGGCACATTTGTGAGTGCACACACACAAATACCATAAAATTGTCTATGCATCATATTTTCAAAACATTGGAAACAAGCTAGATCTTTGAGTATATGAATCAAATAAATTGTACTTATATACAAATAGAACTGGAAGAGACACTGAAAATGATGTGTATTGATCACACGATGGAGGTGTCTAATTCACTGAGAAATGAAAAAGAAAAAAAAAGGGCAGGAATTATATAACAATCTGTCAAGTGTGGTCCTTTTTAGGCTGGAGATGTAGTTCAATAGTAGAACATTTGCTAGCTTGTAAAGACCTTGGGCTTGATTCCCAGCACCACACATACATCTACACAAAAATAGAATGTGTGTAAAAACTATTTTTGTAAAAACTATGCATATTTTGAGACAAAACTGGAAGATACAAAAAGAAGATTGAACACTCTCTCATTTTATGATAATCCTACCAAATAAGCACCCTGTATGTGAGCTGTTTCAAAAGAACTTGCAAAATCCAAAGCACTGTTTTTTATTACTTTCTCCCTTAGGAAGTGTACAGAGGAAGGGTTTGAAAACACAGTGCATATTTTTGCTGACATAAAATTCTTTCTTTTTTCCTTTCCTTTCTTTCTCTTATCCTTTTGTTATCCTAGTCTGCTGTGAGCCGCAAGGAAGGAAAGACAACACCTATGGTCCAAAGTCCTTAATAAATCACCACATGGGTGGGTCACTGATCAATTGGGGCTGCAGGACAAGGACTTGGGAGCCTTGCCTTTCCTGACAGCCCTGAGCAGGGGCAGAAGTGGGATTTATAAAACACAAAAAACATAAACATACCTGTGCCAAGTTACAATTACATTTTCACCCACATGAATCAAAGATTAGGGTTTTTCCTTGTCCATCATTGTCAACTGATACTGAGTGTAAGCTTTTCAGTCCAACCAGTCAGATTCATTTGTTCTTTCTGTTGTTAGGAAGAGCCACAATGTCTTAGAGAACTAAGGCACAACAGACTGTTTTTGTTGTTTAAGGAGGAGTTGGTCAGCCATTGGAAAGTTCTCAGATCCCCTAGGGTTTGGGAACCTGAACTTTTGTTTCACCCTACAGGTAAAATGGAGTTTGAAGGCAAAACGGCAGTACTCAGGCCAAGGTGCTTCTGCCTGCTCCCTTTCCTCTCCTTTCCTTTCCCTTCTTTGAGACAGGGTCTCAAATATTGAAGACAGGCCTTGAGGTTGATACCCAAGGTGGAATAACCAAGAATAACCTTGGCCTTCTGAGTCTCCTGCTTCCACCTCCTGAACACTGGAATTAAAGATGTGCACCATCATACCTGTTTTATGTGTTGCTGGGGATAGAACATAGGGCTCTGTGTGAACACACTACAAATTGAACTACATCCACTGCCTGAAATATGACTTTTCATTTCATTTTCTTCCCGTTACGCTCTCAGTGTTCTTTTGTCAATTATTTCCACTGGACACTATGGGTTGCTTAGTATGCTGTAATATGCCACTTATTTAAAGTCCTTGGTCTTGCATTTTAACTGAGTCTTTTATCTAGTTGTGAATTTGTACCATCATAGCTTGATCATTTGAAAAAAAATGGCTTATCATATCACATACTTCTGCAAGGACACTCCCTTCCCTGCCAAACAATGCTCTTCTCACCAACTTCTCAGAACCCAGTTTAAAAAGAGACAGGGCTTGCTGGGTAGTGTTGGTGCATGCCTTTAAGGCCAGCACTTGGGAGGCAGAGGAGGGTGGACAGATCTCTGTTGAGTTCGAGGCCAGCCTGGTCTACAGAGCTAGTTCCAAGACAGCCAAGGCTACACAGAGAAACACTGGGGGTGGGGAGCTGAGCACAGTGGTTCATGTCTGTAATCTTAGCATGAGTGTGTGTGTGGTGAGGGGTGGAAACAAGGCTGGAGGATTGCTGTCAGTTTAGGGCATTTTGCACTATAGAGAGCCTACCAATAAACTAATTAAATAATTTAAAAAGTGGGATACAGAGCAACTCAGGAAGCAAGACCAACAACTCCTGCCGAGCGTTGGTGGCGCACGCCTTTAATCCCAGCACTCAGAAGGCAGAGGCAGTCGGATCTCTGTAAATTCGAGGCCAGCCTGATCTCCACAGCGAGTGCCAGGATAGTCTCCAAAGATACACAGAGAAACCGTCTCGAAAAACCAAAAAAACAAAAAAAACAAAA